TTTACTCTTGCAAGAGGTAAAGGAAAGGGAGATCCGAGATGACGAGCGAGACAGAAGACGCTGTGCGACGCCGTACAGCTGCCACCGACTATCGGAAAAAGCTTCTCCAACACAGGGAGCTCGAGTCCAGAGTCCGTACATGTATGACCGCGGTGATACTGCAAATGAATAATGGAACTTACTATCATTCTTAGGATTTTTATGTTCCAAAACTGGTGTCTCTTTCTTTTGGTTCTATTGCGCAATCCGATGCTTATTTTGTGTGGTTTTTCTTGAATCTGTGAACATAACGAATTGCTTTACTGTAGAAATTTCGGAATTTTAGATCACATGACGAGTTTTTAGTGTCGGACAGTTCAATTTTACTAGGTTATGAGCAGTGCGGGCCTGTGTTTATGATGGTTCAAGCTTTCTAGGTTTTGCTTAGTAGTTTACCAGTTATTTCAATTTTGTGTGAGTTGTATCAGGGGAGTATTTTTATTATTTGTGTGTGCAGTAATGAATTGAAATACGAAGCTGGTGCATGTCCAGAATGATTGGGGTTTTAGCTTTTGCTATCGATTTATGCATTTCTTGGATTTGCAGCAAGCTTTATACGATTCGTCAAAGATAGTTTAATGCTGTTAGCAGTTTTCTTACACTGTTTTGAGGACGTTGGTGAGTTAGAGGCTGGGGCGTGGATTTTTCAGTATAATACCTTATGTGTATTCAGAATAATCTTTGTTTTCATATCTTTTTTGTTGTGAAAGAAATTTCAGTGAAGTGCAAGTCAGGTTTGGATAATGAATTATTGAGCTGTTACAAGTTATTTATAGAGGACTTTAGCATTTGGGCTTAGATTATTTTGAAAAAAAAGGGCTTAGAATAGTACTGTAGGGTATTCATTTATTTTATTCATGCATTACACACGGGCTAAAAACTATTATCTGTCGTAATCAGTGGCTTAATTTGAGTTGGAATTGGTTGAATACAGTGAGAGAGAATTTGCGTGCTTCAAAAAAGGAATTTGCCAAGACAGAAGATGATTTGAAGTCTCTTCAGAGTGTTGGGCAGATCATAGGAGAAGTTCTCAGGCCTCTTGACAATGAACGCTGTAAGGCTATATTTTTCTTTCTACTAATCTGCTCATGAATGGTTAGGGATTGTGCTACCTTTTTTCTTGCCCCATGTGTGCTTCATCACGAAGAAAAGAGAGTGACTTTGTTGCAAAATTAGAATAACCACACAGTTTTGGTTTTCGATCATTTAACCTCTTGCTATGCATTGTTCTCATTTACATTCTGGAATTCTCAGTTAGCTAATGCTAGAATTGTTTCCGAGGTTTTTTTCTCTTTATCAGCTTTACAGCAGGAGGATAAGATGCAACTAACTTGATCATATAAAGTGGTTATCTTGTTTTCCTGAGTTGCTTAGGGGCCGGAGGGGACTGAAGACAACCTGGAACTAACGTAATGACATTTTGCTCTTCTAGTGATAGTTAAAGCAAGCAGTGGACCAAGATATGTGGTTGGCTGTCGTAGTAAAGTGGACAAGGAGAAACTAACTGCTGGTACCAGAGTGGTTCTTGATATGACTACTCTCACAATCATGCGGGCTCTTCCCCGTGAAGTGAGTATTCGTGTCATGTTCATTTGAGTCTGTGAGTAATCCTTGGGATGCTAAGTGTTTTTCTTGTTTGTTTTGAATGTTTTACAGGTTGATCCAGTTGTCTATAACATGCTTCATGAAGACCCTGGTAACATTAGTTATTCAGCTGTGGGAGGGTTGTCAGATCAGATTCGAGAACTTAGAGAATCTATAGAACTGCCTCTAATGAATCCTGAGCTCTTTATAAGGGTGGGAATCAAACCTCCCAAGGTAATGTCATTGCAATTATCTTGCCTTTGCTTGCCCTTAAGGAAATGGAGAATACCTGTACTTATTATATGGAAGCTAAATTTTCTCAAATGGTTCAGGGTGTACTTCTCTATGGTCCTCCTGGTACTGGAAAGACATTATTGGCGAGAGCAATTGCTAGCAATATTGATGCCAACTTCTTGAAGGTTGTATCAAGTGCTATTATAGATAAATACATTGGTGAAAGTGCAAGATTGATTAGGGAAATGTTTAACTATGCACGTGATCACCAAGTAAGAGCTCTGAGTTTAAGGTAATTTTCCTTTTGATGACATCCTCATCATTCTTAGTACTAATTTGTCTCTGCCTGTCAAGCCCTGCATTATATTCATGGACGAGATCGATGCCATCGGTGGGCGTCGTTTCAGTGAGGGAACTAGTGCTGATCGTGAAATTCAAAGAACTTTAATGGAATTGCTTAATCAGCTGGATGGATTTGATCAACTTGGAAAGGTAACTTCTTCTGTTTCTTTTGTCTTTTCCAAACTCATTATGTTGGACTGATTTTTCATGTATATATGTTTGCTAGTTGAGTCTGTCTATACACATGATACCTATTTACATATCTTGGAAATGGGTCAATGCTGCTTGAAAAGGTTAATTTGGAGTGGGTTTTGTAGGTTAAAATGATTATGGCTACAAACAGACCTGATGTTCTAGACCCTGCACTTCTTCGTCCTGGGCGACTAGATAGGAAAATTGAAATTGCATTACCTAATGAACAGTCGAGGATGGAAATCCTCAAAATCCATGCTGCTGGAATTGCTAAACATGGTGAAATTGATTATGAAGCTGTTATAAAGCTTGCTGAGGTAGGCTTCTTCATCAACTTTTCATCTCCAAACCATTTTCATTCAAATCCACTTGTGGCCTCTGCCTGAAAGTTTAATGCGCTGTTCATTGTTTCAGGGCTTTAACGGTGCTGATCTTCGCAATGTTTGCACTGAAGCTGGAATGTCTGCAATTCGTGCGGAGCGCGATTATGTTATTAATGAAGATTTCATGAAGGTAAATTTATACCGCAATCTGTTATCAAAGAAATGGCATTTCTTTGGAGGGTGCTTGACTTAGGTTTACCTTATAAATTTAGATCTTAAAACTGTATGAGGTTTAAGCTATTGAACTATCTGGTCAACAAATGTGCGTATTATAATAATATGACAAAAACTGCCTTGGAACTTGAGATATTTTAAGTTTTCAGGGTAATAGGTTATCTTGGAGAACTTATATGAGCTCCGTAAAACCATATTTCAAAATGCTATATCTCAAACATCTGAAGCTTTTATATTCGGATGGATTTATAGAACTCCCCTTAAACTGAAAAATAAGCTAGACAAAACGCCACCTTAATCTTTTAACTATTTGATGGGGTTGTTTCCTTTTGCTGCTCTTTCTTCTTGGATTTGGACCCATTGTCTCAGTCGGAGTGGAGGGGTACATAAATGACATTTTTGGCAATGTTTCAGGCCGTGAGAAAGCTGAATGAAGCCAAGAAACTAGAATCAAGTGCTCACTACAGTGCTGACTTCGGAAAGGAGTAATGGGTGATTGGAATTCTTTAATGGTTTTAATGGCATCTTAATTCTCCCGGTTGCCAAGGACTGAATTGAGGATGGAGACATTAGAATCAGCTGGCCGTTTGTTTTCCCTTAGGACCATGTTGATTTAGCATGGACCCCTGAGAAAAGGCGGTCGCCACAAGCATGGTTTGGTCTCGGAGGGACATTGTCACATCTCATCTTCAATTTCTTCTGCATGCAACCTTATCAGGTTTTAAGTTTTACATGATAAAACTATGAGTTGTACGGATCTTGTAATTTTTCCCGGGTCACATTACCGTCAAAATGAATATTTTTTTTTTTCCCTAAGCCGATTCTGAAAGCTATCTCGCGGCGGGCATTGAATTGGGCTGACTGCAGGAAAGGAAATTGATTTTGCAAACCTACAGGCTGTGTTTGGGATTGGAAAAATGAAATATTTGGTTAGGCTGTTGGAAGCAGCCTGTTGGCAAATCGCTCCAATCTGCCTAGTGAACCAGAACCAGCCAGATTACTGTTTGACCCGCAAGTATTTAATTGTTTTCCTTATAATTTACTTTTTTCTAAGTTATAAAAAACTATTTGAAAATGCGATTTTAACAAATACAATTTAAATAGAAATTTTACTGATTTGATTAAATTTATTAAAATTAATTGCTAATTGTTATTGCTATTGAACCTTTCACAACAACTATCAAGATATATATATATATATATACATATATATATATGTGAGATCCAATTGAAGCAAGTCCAGGAAATAAGACTTATTTCTTTGTTCAGATTTTTGTATGTTTTCATTCTCTTCTAATTTATTGTCTTGCTCTATCACGTAAAAGATGTACCAGTTCAAGTCAGTTGCCACTCAAACAATGTTTATTTCTTAATTTAAATAAATGAAACCTGAATACAGCCAACTGAAAAAACCTTCACTACTTCCATTGGAGAGACTCTAAAGCTAATTGGTGAATCTGCTTGTCTCCAGCCGCCACTACATTAAAGCCTGCAAAATAACGCATCAATTGCCATATTAATGCAGTGTTTGCAACAAATTCAAAACATTTCTAAAATTTATTCGTAAACCTGAGCTTACAAAATTAGGAGACACATGCAACGTCTACTAAAATTGATTAGCACCTACATGATATAGAATTCCCTGTGGATTTGACCACCTTCGCTTCATATTATATTTTCAATCTTCTTGCTCAACTAAATGTGAATTTGCAAACCAATTCTTAAATTTTGTTCCAAACATAACCTGAGTGATTACTTCACAGATTAACCAAATTATCAAAACATGTTACAAGGTTATAACAGAGGCGTCATTTTCTCCAACACATATAAATAGCATTTTCCAGTGTTATGGATCTAAAGTTCACGATTTGATCCAAGATTTTTGACAAAGAACGGGAAGGGATACCAAAAATAATAAAAAGAAAAAGAAGTTTCATAAAAATGTAAGCATACCTGTTGCACGGGAATCAGAAGAAGCTTCCCAATAAAGGTGATGCCCTTTCCAGTCAGTTATGATGCCCCCAGCGCCCTCTATCACAGGTATAAGCGAGAGGAAATCGTATGGCTGATGGAAAATTAAAATTTTTAGTTGGAAGCAAAAGCAATGGAGTCTGTCTCATACATTAAGATATCGTGCACAGTTTGGAGTAAGGTACTCATAATAAGCAAACATAACACTGCAACCTCACCAAAGGGAAAGAAGAATAATGATGCAGAAACATACTTGCACCATAATCTTAAAGGTATTGGTAGTTCTTCATCCCATTCCAAACACACATGATATGCTTTTAAGGAAAATAAATTTACCTTGAGACCAGATTCAATGACTAGATCCACGTAGCCAGAAGCCAAAAGTGCATATGCATAGCAATCACATCCATATAGGGGCACCTTTACCTACACATAAATCAAAGCAAGGAAAGGAAAATGTGAAAACATAGTCTACAAGAACCCTGCTCTTTGTTGAGGCATTAGATTCTCAGAAAACCATGCAATTCAATATGAAACAACCATATATAATCAGAATGTTGAGAGCAAAATAGTAAATTCAGAAGCATTGTTCAAGATTCACGACAAGTGCTGGTATAAAGAATACACTCCAAAATGTTGAGGAAAGAAGCGACAGATAAGGAGCACCCTGACATGAGTTATAATTATACATAATCCTTCAACAGATATGAATGATATTTTTATGCTATATTGCCAAAACTTTCCCTCTCTCATAATAGATACTGCTGTTTCTTTTATTATTGGATTGTCATAGGTCCATGCCAAAATGAAGCCTAATTTCATAAGCCAGTATTTCTTTGCAAGAACAAGAGGATAATATCAAACAACATGAGAATGAATGCATAAAATCATGCCCACAAACCATCCATAGATATCCATTTTAGACAGACAACCAGACCTTATTTCTAACACGAATAAATGCCTCCTCAGCATCTCCACTGAAAAGATGTGGGCTTGTAGTGTACCTAAACAGGTAAAGAAACCACAAAATTTAAAAATGGATACAGATAAGAGCTATAAGGATACTCATGAGATTTGTGTGGATGCAGTTAACTGTCTCTTGTGAAAGGGAAAAAGGCGTTGATAAGTGGAAAAAGTATCAAAAGCTTCCATTTCCATGCCTATATTATTGTAAGGCAAGAAAAACATTACAAATATGCTTGTGATAGTTTTCCACAAGGGCGTGTAGACACTTCTTTTCCATTCAGTGTAGTTCTTCTTCCATTTATTCCAATCCACCTTTCTCTGAGAATTGGCTGATCAATTATGCCAAGAATCTGAAAAAATTTGCAATTAACTAAGCATACTTGTAACCTCACAACTCTTTTTAAGTCCATTGGAAAAGAAATATAGCATCATCTTTTCCCTATATGATAAATATTTCTGAAAACTTCGAGTCCACCTATTTAAAATTCAAACAACTAGTTAAGTATATCTTACCGGTTTGCCTTTGTGCAATAGAGCAATCAAAGTGCCAAATAAGGGTTTTCCTGAAATGAAACAAACATAGAATGCTCAAAAGGAAGAACTAAAACCCAGAACATGATAATGATAATTTGAGAAGAATGAAGAATCATATACCTGTGATAAAACTCTTCGTGCCATCTATTGGATCTAAAACCCAAACATAATCTGAAAATTTCTCTTTACACCTCCAACCATTTTCCTCTCCATAACTAACAATTGCAAATCATCACGATGGAATTTGTTACTTAAATGCAACTATAAGGCTTAAAGTTTTCAGTTTTGCTTACGACCATTGAAAAATAAGGAGTGACAAGTCCATCTGGATATCACATTTCTTGTGAAAGTTACAGAAAGTGCAGAGAAAATGACACATGCATAGATTATCTTTATGCATAAATAGAATCTTCTGTTTTTTTTTTTTCTCCATTTCCTTCACAAGTCGACAGAAAACTCTAGAAAAAAATGAAAAATGGAAGGGGGTTGAGATCAGTTCCTGCAATCATCTATACTCACATTGCATGAGAAGGAAAATTCTCTAATAGTATTGAAACCATAGATTCTTCAGCTGCTTTATCTGCAATTGTTACCGGACCTGCAGTGAGTCAAATAAAACATAACAGACGCAATTAGATAAGGAGTGGAGCTGTGCACTTAAGTACAGACACCAACAACTATGGTTCCCTTTTGGTTGTTAAGAGAGGCCTGAAGATGTAAGTGTAACACAAATTAAACAATCTTGTAAAAGATTCTACACCAAAAGCTCTATTTTGTTCTAAAAAGTGCAATTTGTTGTTACATAGCCCGGTACCTATATCTTTAAGGTTATACATTTAACTATTTCAGCAGCTTTTAATACAATTCAATTCTTTCTTTTTTCTTCTAGCTGCTAGGCTCTTAACCTATTCCTACTTCAGTTATCCAGCAGAACTCCAATACTTTCATTGCTCTTTCCTGATTCAAACATTCACACCAACGTGAGTGGAAAGTTTTCAAATTTGAAGCACAGTACCTCGAAGTGGACACCTTCAAATTTTCACCTTACTTTTTAAGTGTCATCAATTTCCAAGGCCGCAGTTCGCCTTGATCATCGTGCAATTTCCATTTTCTTTTCACCCAGTTCTAAATCACACATCGGTATCACACATATCTCAAGATTGAACCATACAAACATCAACCTCCATATGCTATAGACGGATAATAAATATAAAGGTATCTACGCGTGTATTCATATCATAGATGTAGGTGTGAAATCGATATGTATATACGTTTTGTATACTCAGAGACACACGTCGTATAGTTGTATACGTGTTTGTACGTATGTGCTCAGTCATGACATCTAACAAAACCATACAAAGAGTTCAATTACGAGTAAGAGAAGAAAAACAAAATGAGCGAGAACTCACTCGAATCCTCCTTATCGAGAATATCGAATTTATTCCGAAAATATTTGCGAATAACTTCACCGGCGGCATCTGCGAGCTTGTTAGCGACGTCGGCAAAGCGATCAAGGTCGGCTTCCGTGGAAAGAGTGTCGTTATTGTTGGAGAAGTTCGAGCGGAGTGACATTGTCGTTGCAATTGGAGTGGAAAGTGAAGAAAGATTTTGGGAGGAGAGGAATGGCTTAGGTTTGGTAATGGGAGAGAAATGGAGAGATTGAGAGAGGGAATGAGGAAGGAGAGGGAGGGAATTGGAAGGAGGGAGAGAGAGGAAACGGAGGGATTGAGATTGAGAGAGCATCTGAACAGGGAAGGAGTTTAAATAGGCGGGAAAGTGAGGAGAAGAAGGAAGAAGAAGTAGGAAGACGAAGTGGGAGACGGAAGCAGAGAAAGAAGGAGAGAAAAGTTGCAGGTCCACGTGTTTCCCACTTCTTTTTAAAATATAAATATGTAATTAATTAAAGAAAAATTATAAAGCGTCCTCTAATTTTGGATTAATTAGAGTTTTTAAGACCCTAACCTTGAGATTAAAAAAAATTAACTAGAATTATTAATTAAAAATTTTCACTTAAACATTAATTGAATTTTTACACAATAATTAACATCTTTCAAAAATATTAATAAAAGTAGATTAAATTAATTAAACCTGTTTAATTTATATTTGATCAATTGAATTAAACTTCAATTTATTTAGACAGAGACTATTTCGTTAATTAAATTAAATCTTAACAAATAAACCAAACTTCTTAAATATTTAATATAAAAAACAATATAATAACACTATGTATTGGCATAATATATGTCCAAATGAAAAACTCTTACGAAGAAATTTAATTAATTACATAACACCACTTCAACCCATATAAACCCACAATATGTACACATTCAAGCAAAACAAACGAAGCTTGATTGGTTTACATATAAAGTACGTATATAATATTAACATGCTTTGATATTATAAGTATTTATTTATGTAGACTTTAATGGGCGTGGTGACCCGGTAACTTTTCTTTGATCTTCTCCATGACGCTTTTCTTCTCGTGTTCGTGGTGGGATTCTTCCGCCGTGGCGGTGGCGGTGGTGGTGGTGGTTTCCTTGTGTTCCTCCTTGTCCTTATCCTTACTTCCTCCTGTTAGTTTCTCTTTTATTTTCTGCTTCAGTCCTTTCTTCTTCCTTCGCCCACCTTGCCCGTCATCCTCAGACTACCAACAAAATATAAAAATCACAGCTTGATTTCTTTGGACATATTCATATATATAGACTACTGTAACTAGCTAGATCATAACAGAGAATCATATAACTGTTTAAAGTGACAAATAAAAATACAACTCAAATAGTAAGACTGCACAAAGGCATATATGTAGTGAGATACATGCATGCACCGATACCTGTATACACGCATCTACACACACACACACATATATATATGTATATATTCTAGCTAGGTAGGTCAAAGACTGAAGACAAATTAATATGTCTCACCGAGGTGGAGCTTGAGGAACTAGAAGATCGTTCGATTTCTTTTTCACCCTCGTGCGGCTCAGTCTGGGTACCGCCCGTCTCAGTCGTGGCCGGAGCAGTACCGGCGGTTTCATGGCCGAAAACAGCAGGAGCAGAGACGGTTCCGGTTTCAGGGTGGTGGGTGGTGGCAACAGTTCCTTTGAGCTGAATAGGGTTACCAAACTCATCTGTCAATTGAACCGGGTTGCCTTCCGGGTCCGTAAGTTTAATCGGGTTGCCGTGTTCATCTTTCAAATCCGCCATTGTTAAGCTGCAGAAAATGTGAAAGGTGGAATGTTTCGTTGGCCGGTGATAAATGCATTAAAAGGTGATAGAGTGACGGCGTGTCGAGCTACGAAGCTGTGTATTCTTTTGCATGTGTTACACGTGGCAGCAGAGGTGGGGAAGAGACGTGAAAGAGCATTGCCACCTGAAGAGAGATAAAGACACGTGTAATTTGGGATTGGGATGACAAATAAATAAATAAAAAATAATTATTTATTTGTATATTTATTTTTTTTAAAAAAAAAAAATTATAATTTTCTGATTGATCACTGTCCAAGAATAGAAATTAAATCAAAAATTCCTTTAAAATATATTAAAAAATATAATTATCTGAGATAGAACTAATTTGAACGTAAAATCAAAATATATTTGTTTAATTCTATATGAAACACTTGATATAAATTTAACTGTTTTTTTTTTTTTTTTTTTTTTGACTGGTCAAATAATCCATTCACCTAGAACAGAAGATGAACTTGAGTTGGGAAGTCCTCCCATTCATGAAAATTTGGATACAAAAATGCAGAACGGGCAATTATAATGTGCTAACTTATTTTCAGTTCTAGAGACATCAGATGTGCTCCACAGCAACGCCCGACGATCCTCAATGATGCGCCCATACTCAGACTCATCTTCAATCTCAGATATCAGTGCAGACTGAATCCTCTGAGCATCCATTTCGATTACTCCCGAACCGTGGACATTGCTTACTATAAATTGTAATACTTGTTGGCACCCTAACAATTTCGCAAGGTATACCGACGTGATACCCGACATTCTCCTCGACAAAATGTTACGTGTTCAACCCTCTGAATCTCTGATGATTACCCCAAACCCGGTCTCTTTGGCGGACACGCTTGTAGAAGCGTCAACATTTCATTTCCACATATATGGTCGTAGGTTGTGTTCATGCAGGTCCGACACAACCCCGTGTACCTGTATGGCCTCTCTTGCTTTAACATCCTTCACCTGCTGTCATTCTTGCAAATACTTTTTTTGACAGGTATACTGTTGTATGATCAGCAAACATCTTCTCCCTCTAAAGGAATTTGTTTCTTTCCAACCAGAGTCTCCACAGGTGACAGAATACTTCGGCTATCTAGCTTTTGCTCCATTGGGTGCAAGCTTGTTTGATCCACCCCTTCACATCCTAATCCAACCTCGTCCGATACCCTGCCCTTTAATATATCCCAGCATTGTCTGGCCTTATAGCACCCAATAAAAACATGTTTTAGGGTCTCTGTGTGCACATCGCAGACGCGAAGAATCAATTTCCAACCCTTTCTCTTGCGACCTGGTCTTTACTGGCAATGTCTTAAACAACAGTCTCCATATAAAGTTCTTAACTTTGGGTGGTACATCCGTTTTTCACACATATGCCCACATATTTTTATCACTATCTCTATAGTCGATTGAGTCATTCCTTAGCAATCTATAGGCTGATCGAACCGAGTACTTTCCATCCTTAAAGGGAGCCCAAACGAGTTTATCCTCTCGACTTCTCACACTCAATGGTATACCCAGAATAAGTTCAGCCTCCTCCTCTGCAAATAAGCCCCTGATCAGTTCAGCATTCCAACTAAGATTGTCCTCATTCATGAGTTTATTCACTGTCATGTTCTCACAGCCCTCAATGGCAAAACTATTTAACTTGGCAACCTTGCATCCTCGGTAGCCATGAGTCACCCCATATCTTCACCTTCCTCCCAGTACCAATAAGCCATCTCATACCCATTTGTACCAAATCTCTTGCTGCAAATATGCTCCTCCAGCAAAAACTTGGATTGGAACCCAAACATGCAGACATGATATCCCTATGAGGGAAATATTTGGCTTGAAACACCTTTGTTACTAAGGCATTCGGAGCCTTCATTATCCTACACAGCTGTTTACCCAACATGGCCAGATTAAACTCCTGTAACTTCCGAAATCCCAAACCACCATCCTTCTTCCTTCTGCATAGCAATTCCCAAGATGGCATTCAGAGCCTTCATCATCCTCCACAGTTGTTTACCCAACATGGCCAGATTAAACTCCTGTAAGTTCCGAAATCCCAAACCACCATCCTCTTTCCTTCTACATAGAGATTCCCAAGATAACCAGTGAATGGACCCTCTGTTTTGGCTCTTTTTTCCCCACCAGAAACCATTCATCATCCTGTTTAATTCATCACATAACATAACTGGAAGCCGAAAAACATTCATACAGAAGATCAGAATGGCTTGAGCTACAGATTTAAGTAGAACCTCTTTACCCGCCCTAGACAAATGTCATTGGTTCCACCCATTTATTCGTTTTTCCTTCGCAAGAAGGCAAATATTTGCTTTTTATTCCTGCCCACAAGTGACGGCAAATCTAGATACCGACCATGATCAATTGGATTATGTACTCCCAATATGGCATTAAGTCTATGCTTATGTACATCTGCTGTATGCTTGCTGAAAAAAAAAGTACTAGACTTCTGATAATTGATAGATTGCCCCGATGCTTCTTCGTACGAGTGCAATATCTGTTTCACTTGTCTACATTCAACATCAGTCGCCCTAACGAAAAAGAATGTATCATTAGCAAATAGAAGATGTGAAATCGCTGGGCTTCGATGACAAACTTTCACTCTATGTATGACACCTCTTTCCTCCGCCCTTTTGAACATTGATGACAAACCTTCAGCACAGAGAATGAAAAGGTATGGGGATATAAGGTCCCCTTGTTGTAACCCCTTTTACGGCTTGATTGCCCCCCACTTCACTGCCATTAAGAGCAACCTTATAAGATACCGATTGGACACACCGCATCATCAGCTGAACCCATTTACTGGGAAACCCGAATTTGATAAGCATGGCCTCCAAAAATTCCCATATTACCCTATCATACGCTTTGCTTATATCAATCAATCTTCAGGGTCATGCTTTTGCTTGTGTTTGAATTATCTGTCTTCATTTTGTGTATAAGTTCAAAAGTGAAAAAAATGTTATCAGTCATAGACCTGCTCGGAACAAAGCTGATTGTTCCTCCGAAATTAGTCGCGGCAGCACTTGTTTGAGTCTATTGGCCAGAGTTTTAGAACATATCTTATATTACACATTACATAACGAGATTGGCCGTAGGTACTTAAACAGATTCAGAACATTCCTTTTTTGGGATAAGAACAATGGTCATATCATTAATATATTCCAGGAATTCATTGTTCTCAAACCAAGGCTGACAAGTTTCCACTACATCCTTTCCTACCACATGCCAAAACTTTTGGAAGAAAGCCGGATTCATACCATCGGGACTAGGAGCTTTATCGGGATGTATGTGAAAAACAACTTGCTTAATTTCCTCCTAGTGCAGTGATTGGAGAAGTTGCTCATTCTCTTTTCTTGTAACTTGTGCAGTAACCCCTTCCACAACTTGGTGACACTCACCATCAGAGACAGAGAATAACTCCTTAAAATAATTCCCCACATGGTCTTTTAACCCTGCAGCTTCTTGAATCAAGTTTCTTTCTGAGTCTCGTAGCCTGTTGATGAAATTCTGACGCTTTCGGTTAGTAGCTTGGCGGTGGAAATCCTTCGAATTACGATCACCATGCTTGAGCCAAAAAGCTTTCGCTCTCTGGCGCCAAAAACACTCGTCTTGTTCCAACAAGTGAATATACTCACTATTCAGATACTTAAGCTTCTCATTTTCAGAAGTCCCCATTTTCCCTCTTTCCCTCACCAACTTTCTAATCCAGTCCACCCCAAAAACATTATCATATCCCAGCCTGTGTTTGATTATGTTTTAACCTGTTACGATCAACCAACGTTTTAATAAGGAACACCACGTTCGACATAATCTTACTTCACAAGATCATGAAGAGCAAAAACTGCACGAGGATTGTCAAGCCCTCGACAGTTCCAACTTAATGTTTTCATGGCTGTCGGCGAGCCTGGATTCCATGATTCACCGATCTCTCATGTTGAAGTTTGGAAAGCAACTTTTCTGAATCCGGCAATGGAACTTCTGCCTCTTTCCACAACCTCTAAGTTATTTCAGCCCATGAGGCTAATCTGATCCACGTATCTTTTACCATTCTCAGCCTCTTCTGGTAAATCCAAGTGACTACCATACGGTAACTCAGGAAGTTACTAGCTTCATTACAGCTGAATTTTGCGGAAACATCGGGCTTCCTTGAATATTCGTTGCCACATTTTCCGCAGCCACTCCACCCTATTCATTTTGCAGCCAACGGCTCGCCGGTTGAGGATTCCGACGAGAATTAGCCTGAAGTGTAGCATCCCACGCAGGTGCTAGGACTGCTCCTCCCTAATGGATGAGTACTTTACAGTACGAATCAGAATGGCCCAGACGGCTGCATAAATAACAAAACACCGACAACCGTTCGTATTTGGAAGTAGCATAGCCAGATTCACCATTACGCAGAATTAACTTCTTCTGCTGAAGTAACGGTTTCCTCACATTAAGTGCAACTCTGATTCTCAAAAAATCCAGGCTATACGTTCCAGATTGTCGTGGTTCATAAGCAAGAAACAGTCCCAGAAAATCTCTAAACTGTCTTGCCATAACATCTGAAAAGCACCCTACCGAAAGATCATATGCTTGTACTCAAAACTAAGCGATTTCAAGTTCAACTATGTGTATGTCTTCTCCCATTTGCAAACGGTGGGTCACTAACATATGATTATTAAATGTCCACGGGCCGCCTCCATTAATAACTGGCTGCCCATCGACCTCATTCAAAAGCAAAAAAGATATCTCACTTCGCCTAAATCCACAATGCTAACACGAGAGTGTTATAATAAATACACATTACAATTTGGTTTTGTGCAAATTTCGAATTTGTTTCAAATAAGGCCTATTTAGTTTTCCTTAATTTCCATAAAACAGATACTAAGGAAAATAGTTGTTTTTTAAAAAAACTAAAGAAATGACAAAATTCTAAATAACATTCTGAACTGTCAACATATATATATATATATATATAGAACTTGAACTATAAACCAAACCATGGAAAATGAAACTTCAATTTATCCTAACTTAAAATGTATCGATCCATTGTTCAAGAACTTGATCCTACACAAGTAATGTACTATGAAGAACCAAAGGATCTTCCAATGTACTATGAAGAACTAAAGGAACTGAAATTTGCCTAAAACCTAAACTTTGACTGAAACAAACTTGTTGATGATAAAATCTCCCCTATGGGGACATTAATTGGATAGACCACCAGAACTTTCTTAGCTCAATTCACCAGTGGCTAGTAGCCCATGTACAGAAATTTCTTTTGAATCCAATATTCAAGCATGTACCCAAGTAAGATACAAATCAATCTGTACAAAATAATAACTGGACTCCACCTGCGTAATGACCTACTACTGTTCTCATTCTATAAATTTCCCCTTCATATTTAAGAAGTCATTCATACATATATATTCCTTCATCTTGTCTTTACAGGGTAAACCCCAGAAGCTAATCTTGTGAGATTTCAGAATATGCATGCCTTCCCAGATGGAGAGGTTACACAATAGCCTTTGATGATGTTATACTGTTCACCATCCCCTATCCAAGGGAGATTGCTAGAGAAGAACAGCACCAGAATCTGTGTAATCATAACACCAAGCCCACTTGAGTCCCAGCAACTGCAACGTCACAGACAAGCATACATATATTACTGTAGGAGAGGGAGACTCAATAATTGTGCTGCATTTTATTCAATTCCTAGTTATAATTCTCATATTAGTCTTCAATATGTATAGCAAAAACATAATAAGATGTATTTGAATTACCACCACTCTTTACTTTGAATTCCTTAATAGGTGACATTTTTAATGTTAGAAATTGAATTCCTGAAACAAAGGGAGAGGTGGTGATAATTCAAACACTAAAAATCATGTTTTAATTATGCATTTTAAGACTAATATGAAATTTTGAATAAGGAATTGATAAGGAATCGATGAAAATTGAATCAAATGCAACCCTAAAGGTTTAAAAAGTTCACATGTTTGGTTCGATGCAGAAATAATATATATAAATAACCCCACCTACTCCCTAGAAAACTTGAGCATCGAGGAAAAGAGAACATAGTTTCTGTTTTTTATATGAATGACAGAAAGTAGTTTATTTATAAAGGAAATGCATTTTACTCCTACATGTGAACAAAAACTGGTATAAAGTAACACAAATAAGATAGATGCTCACCTCTTAAGAGCTGAGATGTTCATATCTTCCCAGATCTGGTCCAGAAAAATCCCTTCTTTCTGCTGGGCTGATTGTTTATAGGGGATCTACTTCCCTTGGACCCAAAAGAAAAGTGACTCCTCAAAAAAGGTCTTGCTGCAGAGCTTTTTGTGCTTGAACTGGAGGCCAACTTGGGACCCCTTCCTTCATGCCTGCTGCCTTTTAGACGATCAAACGCAACAGAATTGATATCAAGATCACTATCCACAACCCTATTCCTTGATATCCTGTTTCTAACCTTCATTTCCATCTCTGCTCTCAAAGCTTTTTCAGACAACCTAAGGGTCTTCCTCGAGCCAAATGTACAGACAGGGCATGTAGGGTCATATTTGTCAATTTCAGGTGTCATATTCTCCAAACACTCAGCATGGTAAACATGCCCACAAGTTAGAACAGCAACTACAGAAAGTTCATTATTGGCAAAGATCTTCTGGCTGCTCCAAAAGGATTTTTCTGACAACAGCTTTGAGCAAGCCCCACAAGATTGCAGATCAACAGAGGGAGAAGCCAAGATTTGGCTACCATATCTAGTCATCTTCTCACCGTTAAAGCCAAAGGGATCATTGTCAAAAGACCAACGATCTCTATGTGAAGACGCCATGAGCTCAGAAAAAGCATGCATGGACCAGCCATCTGAGGAACCACCTTGGGAACCCCGAGTGGATTCATTGCTCCATGATGGAACTGCAGGCCTTTCTTCAATTGCTGAGTTCCTAGCAGGTGACTTCAATTCTGGCATTTGGACATCAGATACCTGCCGCAATAGATGATGCCTTGGAGAGGACCGCAGCCACCTAGGTGTCGCAGGTCTGGTTGAGCTGCCAGGTTGCAGGTGACACTTGGACGATAAAGGAGATGTCGATAAGGATGATGTTGAAGGCAATGAAAGTGATAATTTCATGGGAGATGGATGAGAAGCTGCAGGGGACTCAGTTGACTCCTTTACCTTCATTTTCAATGAGATTTCACCAGAAGAAAAGGGACATTTTAAGATAAGAATATATGTCAATTAACTAATAACAGGCTATGTCTTGGAGGAAAAAGCTTTACCTGTTCCAAACTGACATCCATTGAGGTATTCCTTGAAATAGATTGATCTGCAATTTGAAGTCCAAAAATATTAGCAATGATACATCACTGTAAGTTGTAACTCTACCATACTACAAGGAGTACCATTAAAAGCTATTCTGGACATCAATATTTATTTCAAAAGAAATATTTAGAAGCTAACTGTCAGCCAAAAACACACTGAGGAGCTAAACCACTATTATTACTATGAATCAGGAAGCGTGGCATATCTTTCCGACATTTCCACCAATGAATTTAAATCCTAAAAAAGATATATGACTCAAAGAATATGCAAAAATTAAGTCAAAGAAGATCAAATGAATACTAAGTTTATGCAATGGCTGTACTCATCATAACTGTTCTGAGAAAATCTGGACAGAAAGAAAAAATTATAGCAAAAACAATATTTACAACAATGAAAGCATTCAATTATCTCTGAATTTAAAGATAAAAATGACAAATCAGGAAACAGGCTAAAATATAAGAGTTCACTCCAGAACACAAGACTAACTGAGAATCAGTTTAACTTTCTTACATTTTGCCCCAAAACAAAACCAGGTTAGCACCAGAGCTAACAAATTAGAATCCAGGACACAAACTGGCTGGAATTGAGTTTTCTAAAGCAGAGATTCTACCCTTCCAATTTACTTACGCAAATTGCAAGTACATACTTCACTAACAAATTCCCGAAGAGTGATACAATAACTCTGGCTCTCTGGCCAAAAGATATAAAATTTTCCCTAAGAACTTGTATTTGCAAAGAGATAGTGCCGAGTACCAATATTCCTAGAATGGTTTGCCATGAAAAAATAAAATATCCATTTGGTTAGTGTCTCTCTCTTCACTTGCTTTCCCCTCCCTCACTTCAAAACATCCCCTTCTTGAATAAGAGGACATTGACTTTTTAATTTGAGACACGATCCTCCATCCATCAAAAATTATTAAAGTTCAGTCCAATGTAGTAACAATGACAGTCATGATAGAACCCAAATAGAGATATGCTCTGCTAAAAACTTACCAACGAGTAATGAAAATTAGCAATAGCCTTCAGAGAAAAAAGGTCCTTACATATTTATATTTGCAAAGGAGACACTGACAAGTACCAGGGGCATCAAAATAATTTGCTCTGAAAAATATTAAGTTGATGAGGTTCTCTCTTCACTTGTTTCATTTCATTCTTCCTTCAGACAAATTCACTTTTTTGAATCAGAGGCCACCCTCACATCAAAGGTTTATGTATAACACATTCTGACACCAAAATGTAACAGCTTGTTTGATAGTTTGACTTGTTTTCCAAGGGTAAAGAAGAGTAAAAAAAAAAGGTAGTGGTTGATGCCGAGCCTCATTTGGTTGAGTTTAAAGTGTGGAATAAGGTGAAGCAGCAACTCTCTGAGACCCTCATAACCCCATCTAAAACCCAAATCATTCAATCCTACAAAACGGAAGTTTGATCAGGGGGTGGTTTCATAATTTGTCAAACAACAATTTTTAAGTTAAGTATCCTATTTGACAATTCTGCCACAATTTGCAAAGTATAATTTTGTAAGATAAGAGTGGTTTGTCCTAACAGTAAACCCTTGCTTTACTTCAATCAAACAACATTACTGTTGGAAACCTTCATTTACTTTCATTATTATAATAACTAACTCCCAATACATTTGGGAATTGCAAAACTCACTTTATTCTACTTACTCTATTATACTATAAAAATCCCAACTTTACCTCTACCCAACATAGTGCAAAAAGAAAAGTAAGAGTTTTGGTGGACATATAACATTAACATGGTAGGGAGTACTTGTACCAAAACAATGAATTTGGATATCACATGAAAGAAATTCAATCTTTAAAACATTCATCTCTTAAGTTACCTGAAGCAGGAGTTCTCGCAAGGCCAGCAGTCTCTTCAGAAAGTGGGGACTTCTGCCATCTACGTGTGCGAAAACTCTCCGATGGACTTCCCTCTTCTGATCCAAATGCCGACTCATATTTGATGTCTGATCCATCATTCCGGCTAATCCCATCTGATAGCCAACTTAAAGAAACCTCTTCCCCTGCTACTCGGCCTCTATTTTCCCACCGAAAGCTCCACGATGGTGAGTACCGAACATTCCTGTGAAATATTTCACTACCAGGTCCATTCTGTATGGTTTTGTCTCTAGAAGCGACACAACAAGCAGACCCCATATCAAACACAACAAAAATTTCAACTCTCTGCAGTGTACAGCAACTTTCAATCACATTTTCCAATGCATAAATCAATAAACAGTTTCATCACCATCACTCCAGCACAATGTTTGCAGTCTACTAGAAAGGCTGCAAAACAAAATAAACCAAATCATGCATCAATCTTCTACTCACTAAAACTCATTGCAAGTCCAAGAGAACAATTAAAAGAACCAAAAAAAGTTCAACATAATCAAGACCAAATAGCAAACTTTAACAAGTGTAGTAACACGGTACTGAGGGCACCAGTTATCCTAAAATGAAATAGTTCATTGAGTACCGCCACTGAAGCAAAACAACAACAACAACAGCCCCAACATTTTATTCTTTCGTCAGGAAGAGAAAACAGATAGGAGACAGACAAAAATATAGCCTTCATTTTTCAAACCATTATAGGGTTTCAAGGCCAAAAGCCAGTGAGTCGAGCATTACAGAGGTTGCAGTCAAATGAACCCTAAACAGTTCGCAGCAGTAGTCGATTTGGTGCACAAATCGAACAGTTTCATGCCGTTCAAGATAAATTAAAAAATCAAAGAAGAAAAAAGAAACTGAGGAAGAAGGAAAAGTATCACAAGTAAAAGGGCTCTCAATTTAGAGAGACTGATTAGTGATTACTGAAACCAATCACCACACCGATAACACAAAAGCTAATCGCCACCATAAAAAAACACAAACAGAAGATAAAGTAACAATCTCACGGAAGTTTAACCGGAAAAATCTGAGAAAAATCACCGACACATAGGGGAACTAACCGAGTCAGTCTAAATTCCCCAATTTTTTTCTTTTATAAACTAAATATAGGAAACAAACTCGAGCATTACAGAGGTCAAATAGATCCAAAATTAATGGCGAGAAACCATAAATCAACATGGAAAAACAGGCAAAAATAGTTTAAATCGAATTCGATACCTAATAAAATTCCAAATTTCCTAGAATAATAACAAAAATCGAACCATTAACTTCTTTATAATCCCCAAAAGAAGCCCACTTTCCGCATACAAACACGCGATATCCGAACCTGACGTGATCGAACCGAACCCTTCCTCCTCGGCCTTCAAAACGGCACCGTAAAAGAGCAGAAAGAATACTCTAGAGAGAGAGACAGCGGTCTTAGTGAGAGAAGAAAATGAGAACCGAAAGGCTGCGTTCTGTGTCTGATGGAGAGAGAGAGAGAGAGAGAGAGAGAGAGAGAGAGAGAAGAGAGGGAAGTCAGTGAGATCGTTTTTGACGGTTTCAATTAGCGTCGTTAAGAATCTCTCGATGTGTTATGTCCATCTCCGAATCAGCCGTTAGTCTTAACGGAGTCAATTGACATGCGTGAAAGCGCCACGTAGTAAAAAGTGCCCTCGCTGCATCGAGTGGTACATTTGCAGCGACGGTAATCCGGGTTTTGACCCGCTGTACGGGTTGTACGCGGGGTGTTTGTGAAAGAAAAAGTTCAAACTGGGCGCCTTAAATAGTAATTTTGACTTTTTTGGTCCCCAAACTGCAAAAAGTTAAATGCGCGGGCTTTCTTCTTTGGTACGCGGAGTGCGCAGTCCGCATTCGATGCTTTTCATTAATTATTAAAATTTCAGATTCAGTACTGTAAAATTATTTTTTATTTTATTAAAAAAAAACAAAGATTCTCGTTAAAATTATTTATTAATCTTTTATTCTCCTCACTCTTATTTTTTATTATTCGATTTTTAATTATATCAATTTACGACTTTAAATTTTTAAATAAATAATTATTTTTTGGGTAAATTCTTTAATGTTGGTGCTAATAAATGTTTTCAATTAGCTACGAGAATTATATTTTATCCAATGAAATTACATGGTATTTTATATATATACATATATGTATGTATGTAAGTGTGTGTATGTGTATGATTTACGGATTATACATGCTTAAACTATTAATCATGGGAATTAAGGGTTAACTTAATTCATATATATATATACGTATACATGTAGCTACACTTGATGTGGATGTGCATATATATATAGATGTTCTTTCAAGCTAATATTTAAGTTGTAAATTATATATATATATACATACACTTGGCGATGCTTACAATGATTATTCTTCTTTATATAGGAGCACATAAATTATTATACAATAATATAT